ATACAATAACGTCATACGACATACCGTAGAATCATCCTTAGGCATTGATGCCTTACCTACAATTGCATGAATGCCAGACAGTAAAATGGATCCCACACAAGATTATTTTTAAATAAACTATTGCAGGGAATTAAGCATTATTTGATGGATAATAGAATATTAAATGTAAAATATGTCAGTCCAACCTGTATATGTTAAAATATGGACCTATATCCCTGTAGCCGGCGAGTATGCATTATATATTAGGTTGGGGAAAAATAAATCCATTATTTTTCGCAGATGATTGTACTGATAGATTTTTCGTAAAGTATCGATCAAACAATTTCAGATGTATACTCGTTGGAAGGGTGACATTTCGCAGTAAAAAAATATATTGCTGATTTTTGGCTTGGTACATTCAGTTGTGAGCAGTGTTGCCAAAACTTTGTTGAGAAAAAATGCTAGAAATTGCTAAACATTTTTAAAAAGTGACAGAAAAAAGTGCTAAATAATTATGGAATAAAGTCGTTTATAATTAATAATGAAATATTAACTCAATTATTCTTAATGGCTATTCATTGCCGATTTGTACATATCCGTCCGACTGAGCTCGCAATATTGAAGACAGAGCTTTGGAATTTCGCACATACATTGCTACTGCTCCTCAGACATTTAGTATTGGAAATGGAATATATCGGTCTTTTTGGGTACACCATATTATACCCCAATGTTCTATTTCTTGAAGCGTTTGGACACATTTTGCAATCTAATAGAAAATATTCTTACCAAAAATTATCAATATTGGTCCATTTTTTAGGGTAGCCCTCATAAACATGTTTTACAATCGAACTTGCTTTAATTTGATATTTTGGATTCTCGTTAAGTAAAAAATCTCCTTATGAAAATTATTAATATGGGTCCATATTAAGGCGTTGCCTCAGGAGAGTGGAACCACCTATTATTCGACATTTTGGGGACGTCGGGCACGCAACCGCATTGCTTAAAATGTAAAGGGAGACTATCGCACATTGGTGCTTTAAGGGGACCCCCCCCCCCATTCTCGGGGTCAACATTTTTGTTGATATAATTCGAATCTACACTGATTAAAGAATGTCTCTACAAAATTTCAAGTGAACATCTCAAGAACTCTTGGAGATATAGCCGATTTATTGTGTCAGCATCAAGTGACGGCTGAAGGGCTTCTCAAACTTTAAACGCGTTTTTCTCTAAACATTTTTTTGCGAATGGCGGGCACGATAACTCAAAAACTAATAATCCAATCGGTTCCAAATTTTGTAACGTTTCTCTGGGAGTGTATAGCTCTCGTATGAACTAGGATAAAGCCAATCGATGAAGATCTTTCTTATTTTTTAACTTGGTTTTTTGTAAAAAAATCGGCGATTTTCAAAAAATATGTTTTCCAAGGTCCACCATTTTGTTAATTTTAGAGCGAAGTCAATAATCCTAGTTCATACGAGAGCCAGACATGTACTCTTTCTAACACCGTTGGAATTTTCGGATTCCGATGTTCCAGTGCCCGCCATCAAAAATAAGGACTTCTCTTTAATTACAAAAACAACAACAAAGCAATAACAAAATTTTTTTTAAACTATCAATTAATTAAAGGCCTAAGCCTCAGTATTGCAAGGGTACTTGAAAGCATGGAAGTGGGTCAATAATGATATGGGAATGTTTTTCTTTTTATGGAGTTCGATCTATTTACGGGATTTATGATATAATGAATCATATTGTTTATATAAATGTGTTGGAAAACATCACAGTTCCCTTTGCTGAAGTAAATACACCCCTTGACTGGGTGTCTCAGCATGACAATAAACTCAAACATACACACATGGAAACATGTCAAAGATTGGTTGCGGTAGTCAAAAATCAGGGTTATATAAATATCATTAAATTTTCTCCGCTATGTAGGCTCATTTCTATCATATGGGAGCTATATCTAAATCTGAACCAATTCCAACAAAACTTAACACACTTTACTATAAACTCAATTCAAAAGGCTATGTAAAATTTTGTCTCAAACCGACATTTATTGACAGTTTGTTGCACTGTTTACATAAAATCGGACAACAATATGTTTGAGCTATATCTAAATTTAAACCGATTTGCACCAATTTAAATAGTGTTGGGCCAAATAATTGAGCTATGCCAAGTTTCGTTTCTTTCGGATTCGGATCGGATAAATGCGACCTGTACCTTGTTTGCAATTTTAAATCGACTTAGTATGAGATTCTATGTATATTCTCGAAAAGTACCATGGTTCTATCTCATTTCATTTTGCCTGTTACAAGCATATGCACAAAGAAATAATACCCTGTACTACAGTGTGGTGAAGGTTATAAAAAGGCGTAGGATTTTTAGAGAAAAGTGTCTTAAGAAATTCGTGATTTTTGTGCCGATATTCCTCGAGAAGAAATCCATCTTTTTGGGCTGATATTCCTGGAAAACAATTCATTGATATGTCCAAAACAAATATAACAAAAACCACACATTTTGTGGTAATATTTATCAAGAATTAATGCACAAAAAACTCTTGGACCTATATTCCTCAGGAATAAATTTAAAAAAAAAAATAACCTCCTTTTTGGTCTGAAATTCCCGGAAAATAAAAAATTGATCTGTTTGCATTGATATACACTATTTTGAGAAAACCTTCTACTTTTTGACTGACATTTGTCAAGATTTATTTTTCGAAATATCCATACCTCTTTTACTGATATTCTTCGAAAATAAATTCTGAAAATATGTGTTTGACAAAAATGCCCCTTTTACGTTGATATATCTCGAGAATAAATTCTAGAAAAATATATGGGCAATATTGCCAATTTTTTAACATAGCTGAAGCGGAGGTTCACCCCTTTATAACTCGGGAATTACTTAAGTATATGAAAAAAGTGAATAGTTTTGGGTTAATTGATCTGTCGTTGCAAACTGTTCATGATATTGACCTCCAAACTTTATTTTGGTGGAAGCTGTGTCTACTTTAATGTAAAAAAATGTGTAAAAACAGGTTGAGGCAAACCAGTTTTTTTATGTTCTCTATCGATTTGTGACTAAGCCAGTCATTCCACGGTCTTCGTGTCAAAAGAAAACTAGAAACCAACAAAATGGGGACTACGCCCCTTATGTATTATTTTCAAAATTTTAACTGCATGATGCTGACAAATGATGCTGACATTTTGAAGCTCGATTTTGAGTGTTTTTTTAATTTTACTTCTAGCTTTAATACGCAAACAGGGATTTATAAAAATCGATTATAAGAATATTGTAGTCGCGAATCCGCGTAATTTGATATGTATTTTGTGTATGTAGTATGCACAGCTTCAAAGTAATACTCATCCGAAGGTGCGAATTTTGTGCGATCAAATTTCTAAAAAACATATTTTTTCGGGCCAAATTTTTAGATCTGTCAACTGAATGATATGGGTACACGCGATCAATAAGGTTTTTTACGTTTCGGATGATATAAAATCTTCTTCGTGAAAATCCATCTACTAGAACGGCGGGAACTGGCCTTCCAAAAACACGAAATTTGGCGAAAAATGTTTTTGAAAATATCGCGGATTTATTTGTGTTTTCTGTGTATCATTTCCGCTTCAATAAATGACCTCATACAGATTTTGATCTTTTTCGAAAAGAGAACTTTAAAAACTTCAGCCGAAAGAGAGATGTACGCAATTTATCTCAAATATAGATTGTGCTGGCACATCCATGGTTCTTAATGGACCACATTGAAATCGGTATAGATCGATGTATTTTTTTAGGGTGCACACCGAAATCGGATGCGCGTTAATGGAGTTTTCGGAAATTATTCGCGTTTTACGATTTTTTGGGTACTTCAATGTAACGTGTGGCACATCTTAGCCGTCAAATGAAATTTCGCAAAATATATATGGATTGGAAGATAAACTTCAGTACTTCCTGGAAACCCCATGCGCATCAAATAATTTTGAGTATTACGCGATTTACACGCAATTTAAAATGTATATTCCATAATATTATTTTATTTTAAGATTTATTCCTATTTATAGAATTCTAAGATTTATCGGAAGGGTCTTGATATAATCCGCAAGGCGTATACTTATACACAAAAAGTGATTATTATTATATATGTCAATTTTTCGGCGAAATTCGGGTAAAATAGCAGAATAACCCCAACATTTTTTTTCTGAAATTTCTTGTATACAATTAAAAAAATAATATGATGACATTATTTTTTGAACCAAAAACAAATATTTTTCCTCAATATCTTGTTTTGTTGTCGCTTTGATTTAGAAACCGCTACACGGACTTGTGTGATTTTGATATCATTTGATTCACCATCGTGTTTAGATTATGTAGATATTTTTAAATTAATTTTTAGGTGTGTGTATGTCATTAATATAATGAAAATATTGATGTAATTTGCTATATTTTTTATTTTTCTCATATTTCGCGAATATGTGCAACTTTATCGTGATTATTATAGTATATTCATATTCTTATTTTACGGAGGAAGATATATATCAACGTTTTTGGTCAATAAACGGCGTAATTTTAAGATTTTTTTCTTATGCCCAAAATTAAAAACTCGATAACTTTTGCGCGCATCAACCAAAAATTTGATCGCGAACGGATTCGGAGTCAGAACATTTTTCTCTATATGTGTACCAAAAATCATAGATGTGCGACAAAAACAAAAAAGCTGATTTTTTGAAAATGGAATATTAAAAAATTGGCAATATTGCCCATATAAGTATTTTGGGCTGATATTGTGTGAGAAAAATACTTTTGAAAACTCTAATATTTATTAAAATATAGACTATCTTTCGACTGATATTCCTTGAGAATAAAATTCTTGAAATAGCCAAATGTCTATTTTTTTTTCTCAAAAAATTTCGACCCAAAATGTTGTATATTCTATAATTTATTCTTAAGTAATAGTCTAAGAGGCGTGGAGTTTTTATCTTTTTTGAGAAATATAAGACCAAAAAGGGTTATATTTAAAGCACTCTCTCTTTTCGTCAGCCATTTTCGATGATGTATCTCTCAGTTACGCTCTCACGCACATCCTCTCATTTTAGTTCTGTTCAACTCTGATTTAAAGACCAAATTTTCTCGAAAAATATGAGACCAACCGACGAGATTTTTTTAAGAATTTATCGAACACATTTTATATGCATATGTAAAAAAATCGAACTTACGTTTATATAAAAATTTTGAATAGTCACAATCCATGATGCTGGTTGGTAGCTGCTACTGATGATCCAGGTTCTGCTAAGAGATGTCTATAAATTCCAAAGACTTATAATTTGCCGACGGTACTGCAATCACAATCGGCTTTACAAAATAACGAGGATTTTCACTTTTGAATTAGGATAATCACTTTTATGCACACTTTTTCACTTAAACACGATTCTTATGGTAATTTTTATGACGATTATTTCATAAAAAATATATTTTTTTCAATATTTTCCAAAAAAAAATCAAAATGAAATATTTTTCAAATGGAAAAAACTTAGAACACTTGATGTAAACAGAAAAAACAATTGAAATACTTTTATTTGTTTTTAAAGTATTTTTTTAGATTTTTTTTTTTATTTTTCAAAATTCTCACTACTTTTATAAATCTTTATGAATTATCATAAAGATGTCACAAATTTTAGTTTAACTTTTATTGAAAATGACGACATTTTGTTATGATTATTAATAATTTTTTCGTAATTTCAAAATTATTATTTCTTTTGTTGTACACTTTTAATTCCATTAATTAATTAAACACTTTTGTTTTTTTTTTTTATTATTTTTTTCTTCACAGGCCAAGAAAACAAGCGATTCAATTAGTTATCATTAATTTTGTGTGTTTGTGTTATTTGATTGTTCTAATTTCGTTTTTGTTTGTGTTTCACTGCTTCTCAATTTATCAATTGATGATTTCCGAACACCTTTCACTCTCTCTATCGTGCTCACTCGTTCGCTCGCTAGACGACCGACGGTAAAGGTGGGATTTCTTTTTGAGGGAAGTATTTTTGTTGTTGTTTAGTTTTATATCTTTTGGATTTTGGTGTTTTCGTTTTAATTTTCTTGGGTGTGAAGGCGGAATTGTTTAATCACAAAATTAATGGCAAATTTGTTGCCAAACACTTGTCTAGCTCGAACACACACACGCACGCATTCACGCATCCGTTTGCTCACGTTTATTGAAACGGCGCTCGCTGCTTCTTGTTCTTTGTTGGCCAACTAGTCTGCCAGCCAAATGTTTTTTTTTTCTTCTTGCCGATGATTCGATTCAATTCACTTTTTTGTTGTTATTTTACGAGGTCGGCGTATCGTCGTTGTGTTCCAAAGAGCACAATCACCCACAAAGATAAGATAAATCCGTAATGGCCAACCTGTCATTCATTAGAGCGGGGACTAGCACCCGTGCTTTTTATTTTTATTTGTTTTTTTTTTTATTTATTTATTTTGTAATTTTCCAAATTGTTTTGTATATTTGTCACCAAATTAATTCAATGTCACGACAACGAAAATAAAACTGAAAACACATTTTCTAAACATTTTTCACACATAATTTGTTGCATTATTTCAATTTGCTTTTGTCATTGAGATTTAATTTATTGTCGGGTTTTCTTTTCTGCAAATTAAAAAAAGAAAAATAATTTTAATTTTTTGGAGCGTTTGAATTATAAATATAATATATGTATGGGTGTTAGAAGAGCTTGTTGGCGCGTTGTATTTTGTTTGTCCGTCGGCCTTTAAAATCGAACGGATATACATAGATGTTAATAGCTCTGTTCCAGAACCGTTAATAATCTAATATTTGTGAAATTTTACATATTTGTATAACATCCACATTAGGATGGAGTGTATAATAAATTTGTGAATCCGTTTGCAACACCTCGGAATGTTCTTCGGCGACCCCATAAAGTATAAATATTCTTGACCAGATTAAAATGCAAATCCGTCTGTCTGTTAAAATTACGATAGAGATCTAAATATTTAAGATAAAATTGCTACTATGATGTTTGGAGTTTGGATATATCGGTCGACATTTTCGTATAGTCCGCATATAAAAGTTCATCCCAATTTTCGATATATTGAAGATTTTAATAACATGTTCTAACTGAAGGGGTTGCAATTTGCCCAGCCCCATTTTAGTTTTTTTGATGGTCCGAGGCTCTCTTTTTCAACGGGATTAGTTGTAATTTGGGCTATCAACCTTAGCCCCCATATAAAAGTTTCGACCTTTAATACATATTTGGAAGATTTTAGCAACATGTTCTCACCAAAGTGGCTGAAATTTGATATTCCAGGGTTTTAGAGATTTGGATATAATTTTGGATTCCGAATTTTTGGAAGTTGAAATACATGTTTTCATAAAATTTAAGGCTCTAACAGCACTTTTTTGAAAATTGTAACCGAATTTATAGAGGAATTGCAATGTAGGTCTATGTTTTGACATTTCTTCCGCCATTTCGAAGGTCTTAACTCGAAAATGGGTGTAATTTTGCATTTCGGATTGTTGGGGAATTAATAAATACCTATTGCATAGACCAGTTTAACTTTCGGTACCTTGAAATTCTATGCCACTTACGTATTCAATTTTTCCCAAATAAACAACCTACTGGCAGACAATTTACAATGACATAGTCTCCATATAATAGTCCTGACTTTGTTAAAACAATTTTTCGAATGCACACCACATCGTGGATGGTGTAAAATGTTCGAAGTAAATTCTAACAAATCGGAATTCGACAAGCCTAATATCTTTAATATCTTTGAAGACTTCACGCAAAGAAATTGATCGCCCTAGGTTTCTCAAACAGAACGCAACATTTCTCCCATGAACAACATGCGTTTCGGACTCATAGACATTGATCTATTATTCATCACCTGTGGAGATCTTATATTTTATATATAGATTTTTTAACTATAGTCAAATTGCCAACGTATGCAATATCAGTGGGCCCTTTTTGGACAACCTTTAAACCCTTCGATTTTAGCGACCATTCTATAGGTCATAAACACATAAAGATTCATATTCACATTGTCGTTATAATCAAAATGAGAAGTGGTCATACAAGACCCATCTTCTTACCTGACCTAGGATTATTATGTGTAAATTTTGAATTAAATACAATACTCAATTCGTTCTACAACATTTTCAAAACATTGACTTATGCGGGGAACTGCAATAATGCTTAGATAATACCTTCTATATTCCATTCGTTTTTGGAGAGGTGCTGGAAGAAGTAACTGATTGGCTCTTATTTTTGACATGATCAAAGACTTTTGAAGGTAGGAACAAATTGGGTATCTATTTGTACATTATTTTAATAAGATAGCAAAAGAAGTATACTTATTAGCCACATAGTATCAGTAAATCTATAATGATGAGCAAAGTTTGGATTTAAAACAATTGTATTTGTTTTAAATCCAAACTTGATATGCTTAATGAAAATTTTTATCAAATTTAGGCCTTTTTTCACTCCATATGAGATTTGCAAACATTGACCCTTCGTAGGAGAGGTAGAGGAAGTTGTGACCAAATACACTCTATTTGTATACCCTACACAACTATGTTCTCAGATTATAATGGATTTGTAAATTGGTCCTAGACTCACATTTTAGTATACCGATCGTCATATCTCTAGACATGTCTGTTCGTCCGTCCGTCTATCCATCATAATTTGTGAACCAATCATCACGAAATTTTGCATGTAGAAACAAAGACCCCTATTGTTTTTTGTAATGATCGATTAATATTTAGGGGATGAAATGGATCAAAAACTTGACTGTTTTTCTGAACGCTCTAAAGGCCACAATTATGGCCCGAACATCACAACATTTTACACAGAGAAAGGGGTATGATCATAGAATAAGCATAGAAAAAGTTTTGCAAGGTTATATTTAGATAATCAAATTACTTTTGTGTGAAAAATTACAAAATTTGTTTTCTATGACGTATATATATATATATATATATATACTCCAGAAGCACATAGACCCGAGAACTTAAATTGATACCAATTATTGTTGTATGTACTTGGATGTGAATGTTATCCTTAAATATTCACCATTCTGATATTGTTTAGTATTACCATAAACACACTAGAGGCGTTAATTTCGCACTGATCGGTTATGGCCAAAGACGACGCCTATAATTTTCGATAATGGTCAGATAATATTTCGGGGATGAAATGGCCCTGAAACATAACATGTCTGGCTGTAGATACCACAATTATAAGCCGAGTATCACACAATTTTCCTTGGGGAAGGCGATCTGTCTTAAATAACAAAATTTGAATCTTATGAAGTAAAGTTTTACTCCGGGAAAAAAATGAAAAGATGCCACAGAGGAGCTGCGAACCTCTAATCCGGCAAAAGATTGCAAACATCGCTAAATATTACCCAGGAGCTATATATATATGCGCAGAAACTTAGAGTTCAGTGGTAGCAGGGTAGATTATGGTCAACCCGCCTGACTATACTGTTCTGCTCACTGGTTAGAATTGATAAAAAGGTCTTTGAAGTTTGGCAGGAAGGAGTTGACTTAAAAGCTCCCTTTTCGGATCTGCTATAGCAAAGTGTGAATGAAACTTAATATTCAAATTTAAAAAATGGTGGTCTATCTGAAAAAGTGGACCGATGAGCCCATCATAAGGCTCAAATAGGGTTGTTGGAGAAATAGCAATGAAATAAGTGGGTGCAATAATTACGATGAGAAAAGAACTTTGTATTCAAGCTATAGTATAAGATTGGAAATAGTAGAAGAGACGCCGGGGTCACCGATAATATATATTTTTAGACTTGACTTGTGAGGTATATGTACATCAAATCAAATATTCTGCTCAATTGATATTATACATTTTGTTTAAGCGGTAACAGAAGATGCTATTCGATATTCTTTATTTTCGGAAATAATATATGATTTGATAAAAACTAGTACTATTACGTTTGTCTTATTCAAATTTTTTATATTTTTAAAAACAACTGGAGCTAACGGGTCACCAAATAATCTAAAATCTTCA